TACTACTACTACTACTACTACTACTGACTAGTACTACTACTACTACTGCTACTGCTACTACTACTACCCTTCTACTACCCTGCTACTACCCTGCTACTACCCTGCTACTACCCCGCTACTACCCCGCTACTACCCCGCTACTACCCTGCTACTACCCTGCTACTACCCTGCTACTACCCTGCTACTACCCTGCTACTACCCTGCTACTACCCTGCTACTACCCTGCTACTACCCTGCTACTACCTGCTACTACCTGCTACTACCTGCTACTACCTGCTACTACCTGCTACTACCCGCTACTACCCGCTACTGCCCGCTACTCCCTGCTACTACCTGCTACTACCTGCTACTACCTGCTACTACCTGCTACTACCTGCTACTACCTGCTACTACCTGCTACTACCTACTACTACCTACTACTACCTACTACTACCTACTACTACCTACTACTACCTACTACTACCTACTACTACCTACTACTACCTACTACTACCTACTACTACCTACTACTACCTACTACTACCTACTACTACCTACTGCTACCTACTGCTACCTACTGCTACCTACTGCTACCTACTGCTACCTACTGCTACCTACTGCTACCTACTGCTACCTACTGCTACCTACTGCTACCTACTACTACCTACTTCTACCTACTATTACCTATATACTACTACCTATATACTACTACCTATATACTACTACCTATATACTACTACCTATATACTACTACCTATATACTACTACCTACTACTACCTACTACTGGAACGTCAAGAAAAAACAGTCAAAACCAGCCAAAACCACCCTTCGAAACTCTAAATCCCAATGCTCCTGACGGGCGAAGTGGCCCAGGAGGGGAGCGCGCCAGAGGAAGATTTGCCGCAACCACCAGGTCGTCAGGGTAGCCTTGCCTGGGCCACTTATGGGGATTTGGCGCTTCGAAGGGCGGCTTTGGCTGGTTTTGACTGCTGTCTTCTTCACGTTCCAGAAAGCAACTTTAGGCAGTGGCAGCCCAGAATTGGCCTGGGCCACTTCGCCTTCAGGAGCATTGGGATTTGACTGCTTTCTTCTTGACGTTCCAGAAAGCAACGCTAATCAGTGGCAGCCCAGTCGGCCTACTTCGTCCTTCACGAGCACAAAAGATTTGGCCCGAGCCACTGCGTCCTTCAGCAGGACTTTACCGTTGAGGTCGGCAGCAGGGGGACGACCTGGTAGTTACGGAAAATCTTCCTCTGGCGCGCTCCCCACGCTGATGGCCGGGGTCAGCGGATATTTGGTTGATTGATGGATATTATTTGATCGGCTAATTCTGACCCTTCGTCGAAGTATTGGTTGGATTTTGTTGGTCGCAGTATTAATGTTGAAACCGATTGATATATATATAGTGGTTTGTTTCATTGTCTTACTGGTAGTTTCTTTGATTGAGATACTCGCCCTTGTGCACTTGATGGGTTGCATGATTTCATTCGGTGGCTGATTGATGCTAGGTCGGTTCTCGACATTGATTTCTTTGATTGGCTGGTTGACTGAATGAGAGGCTGCCCACATGGCGAGCTGCGGAAGACTGAAGGCTTCACTACAAGACAATATGAAAACTATACAACGGTTTCAACCCTTGACAACGGCAGAACCTGTCGCAGCAACCAGAAACAATCTTGGTGCAACCATTCCAAGGCGACTAAAAAAAAACAAAAACATCCACATCCCGGAGTGTTCCATACTGTTCCCACAATACAGCGAAGCGAGCAAGAGCCTACCATTTCTGCCGAGGTTCCCTGCATACATAGGTTGTTTGCAATTATTGGATAGTCAGTAGGGGGTGAATCAAGATAGTGGTTTGTAACGGCGCAGTTGGGGAGGCTGTTGGGGAATTATTTCGTGAAGTATCTACAAATTGACCAGCAGGACTTGTTTGCTCTTTGACTTGCTCATGGTCAGCAGCACAGAAGTGCTTTGACAAGTGATACCAGTATATACATAGATGCTGCCTGGTTTTGTATTGTCAAGTTCTTCGTAGACGGTTAAACATCCCATCTCAGAGGTTTGCGAGCTAAAGAGGTACAGTTGGTACCTGACTGAGGCTGCGATGCTTTGCGGATTCAAACAGATGACGCTAGCCTCGGTTTGACGGCCCAACGGGGATGCAATGGAGTGTGCTGGTGACCACGCAACAGACAGCAAATGTTGACCTCTTACTGCTTAAGACTTCACATTGACCTCTTGAGGTCTTGATAGTGGTGGAGTGTGTGAACGATCTGAATTTGGCTGCGATCGTCATGCTGGGCGTGGCTGTTTCCATGGCAGTGTCTTGTCATTTTTTGTGTTTCTGGGCAAAGTTCGCGAGCGGACAGATCCAAAGCATTCCCGATGATATTTGTGCAAAGGTGATAAACTGCCAAACCAGACAACAAAATTTGCATCCCACCGGAACCATGGGTTTTCAAGCACTGAGGTGAACTGGTCAATGAACGAGCGAGGGCATGACGAGGAGGCTCTTCTTTCATCATCTGAAATCATGTTCACAATTGTCGTCATCTTTCATCATCTTTGATCCATTTGTTACTTCAGCTTGTAAATTCGTAGTTCAACAGACAGATCATAGAGAGTAGCATTGTACTTCCAACGATGTCTGGCAACCCCATAAACACAGTCGAATAGAACCAACCATGCCAGTGTGAAAGAGAGTTGCCTGGCAAGGGTGCTTGGTAACTTCGCTTGGCGGTTTTGAGCTAGGATGTGCTAGGATGTGCTAGGCGTCTTTCATGTCGTAGGTCATCCATCGCAAACAGCTGCCATACTTGGAACCTGAACCTCCGCGAAGCTTCGATGCTTTGGCAGCGCTGGATTTATGCACACCTTGCAGCGCTTTGCACGGTCCCTGGCAAACACATCCATAGATTGAGGGGATGTAGCGTTGGATTGTCCAAAGCGAATGTGTTGGCATGTCGCAGTACTTTTGTCGGATAGATGAAGAAACTTGCTTCAAAGCAAGAGATATGTCAAGACGTTTCATGAGATTTTCGGCGATTGAATGATGTCTGCATTTTTCCATCACGTGATCAGAGTGCATTCCGTGTCACTGCATGTCTTCTCGCCTCCTCATATACCTTGCCTGGAATCTTTTGAGCTATTGCAATGATACTGCTTTGTTCAAAGTCTGCATGTGAATTGTTTTGGAGTTCTTCGATGATGTTGCGCAATGCGCCGCCCAAGGCCACCAGAAGCACCCCTGCACCAGGCAACTGCCGGTTCTTTTCGGTAGTTTGTTGGGTTGTCCTGGTAATTTGAAGATAAGCTAGGACCTATTAAGAGGCGAAGCAGGGTGAGGATTGTGTACACACTGAGAGAAGCACTCTTTGCGCCCTACACTCACCTCAGGTCTTGCAGGCGTTGGAAGAGGACTCTGAGTACTTTCCAGTGAAGGCCGCATTGGGTCTTTGGTGGCTCTTTTCTTTATATATTTACTTTTGTTTTGATTGAACTTGGACCTTTTGAAGAAACGCTTTTCAGTTTGCACGGCGTTTCCGAAGAGAACAATGCTGACTGGTTCGACACTCTTGAGCTGGTTTCAAGACGGCGCAAGAGATGTATTAAGGCTCTTTGAGACAGTGAAATGTCTGAGGTTTGATATCCCAATGTTGTGGTACATGGTGTACTTGAGAGCACAAAACTCTCACATTTTGTTGCAGGCGAGGAATATCATGTTCAGCAATTTGGGAGATGGAACTAGTACAACGGCAAGCAGACGCACTCGGTGCAGTTTGCTGACCTAAAATTCTTTCCACGGGTCACCTCTAATTTCTCTGTGTGGACAAACCAAACAAGTTGGGAAGACAGCTTAAAGATTCCGCCATCTTCTCTACGTCCATGCTGCCATGCGTACACAGTTCCATGTCGTCGGGAAATCCTGATCTCCAGGAGTCGGATGGCCCATGCCTGGGTATTGCTACTCGTCAAGCTTTGCGTTCCTTGCTACCCGCAGTTGTACAGGTGGGAAGCCCAGAGCCCTCAAGATTGGTACAGTTACTAGTAGCATCGAACCATGACTGTGGCACAGATACACCAGGGACAGGTTGCGCCAAAAGAACACAATTGGCACTTGAAAAATGTCGGGTAGCTGCACAGAATGCTGCCAAGAGCATGCATCTCAAGAAAGAACAAAAGTCCAGACTTGTTCTCGGAGAATTATGACTACTCAATGAAGACTACCACTTGCGCTCAGCCAAAGCTATGCAATGCTACGCGGAGCAGGCTGACCATGTGTATTTGGATGTGGCCGACGTTGCTCTGGAAGCAGATGTTCTTCCTATCCATCGTGTAATGGACTGGGGAACGGTGGAAAATGGAACGGCGAACAGTGTGGCGATGTGTGGTCATATGAGAGTCATACCTTCTGATTTGCCTTTGGTTTTGTAAGCGAGCCTGCAGGATCCAACTCCATTCACGGTGGTGGAAGATATGCCAGCACCAAGGCGCGACGAAGAAAGCTCAAAACAAGTCGTTTGGGAAATGCAAACGGCAACCAATATGTGGCTATGTTTTTGAATCGAAATGAAACTTGCCAAGAACAGAGTGCTGTTTAGATGCACAGGTCCCTTATTGGCTTTCAAGTGTTCCAGATGCTCCATCAAAAGAATCCGGCTCCTGCAACACAATTCACCAGGCTGTACAACCTTTTTGCAAAGGCAGGCGAACGTGCTGCTTGCATCACCTCCATTCGTACCTGGTCAGAAACAGTTAAGGGAACATCCCAAAAGACTGAAGCATGTTGCAGGCATTGTTCTCAGCCTTTGTTGGTGAGCTGCATTCTGGTGCCGTTGCGGATGCACTATTTAAAACCCAGCTGTTTCCTTTGCACATCCACTTTCTACGCTTGAAATGTTCAGCATTAACGAAACTGAAGAAATTTTGAGACTACCTTGCCCAAAGGTTCATAACTTAAATGTTTTTCATGTCATTGGATTTCCACAACTTTGGCTTTGTCATTGGCATCACCACGTCTTGTGGCACCAGATGGCACCAGACTTGGTGAACATTGTGACACGTTGTGACATTGGTGAAAGACCACAGACATCCCAAGACGTAGCAGTGACTGTCTGCTCTGACATCGACAATTCAGTGACATGTGTCACATCAGACGTCACATGCTGTGTCTGTCAGATTGTCTCTCTGTGTCTCAGGTGGCGACTTCCGTGGCCTCCTGTCACGAGAGCAGCTCATTGCAGCAGCGCGGAGAGTTTGACAAAAACCGAGAAGCTTGCGTGGGAAAGGAACGAAAGGAACGAAAGGAACGAAAGGAACGAAAGGAACGAAAAGAACGAAAGGAACGAAAGGAACGAAAGGAACGAAAGGAACGAAAGTAACGAAAGTAACGAAAGTAACGAGTTTGAGAAAATGACAACGATGAAAGCGCCGTTTTTCCAAGACCTCGTGAATAATGTTGGCTTGCGACCCGAATTCTTCCAATGACAAGGGCAAAAGTCTGGTTGCGAGGCTGCTACAGCGCAACAGCAGCTTGTTGAGCGCAAAGAGCGGTTAGAACAGGACAGGAGCAGAGCAACGAAGAGCAATGCACAGCATCTCAAGTCAAGTTAGCTATTCTGGCTGTTCGCTGGGTTATATATTAGGTTTGTCCGTCCGGGCCATTCCTCACAGACTCTCAGAACCAGAAGATTTGCGCTTGCAAGATCACCGGCGCAATTTGTAATCCTTTATGATCCATGACATGGAAAATGTGCCGCAGATTACAATTTAGCTGGGTCGGATTCCTCAAAGACAATGTAAACGTGAATGATATGCAGCGAAAGAAAGGATGTAGATTTTGGTGCATTGTGTTGAGACCAAAGTTTCCTCTATACCGCTTTCGAAGTTCGCCAAGAGACAGAAGTCGCAAGGAGCTCCAACGGGTCACTGCAGACTGCGACGCAGAACGGAGGGAGTTCGAGCGGAAGATACAGGCACGAGTTGAAGCACAAGTTGCAACATAAGTTGAAACAAGGCGGCACGGAACAAGAGAAGTGTCTTCACAGTCTTCGCAAGGTACGAGGACTTTGAGTTGCGCACTGCACGCAACCACTGAATTTGCCACTTCAGAGATGAATGGTACATTGTTCTGCATACTTGTGCATATTTGAGGCATGCATGCATGCATGCCGGCCGTCAGTCAGTCTGTCTGTCCGTCCGTCCGTCTGTCTGTCTATGTCTGTATGTCTGCCTGTCTCTGTCCGTCGGTCCGTCTGTCTGTCTTTTTGTTTGTCTGTGTGCATGTCTGGATTTGTGTATGGAATGGCATGGCATGGCATGGTATTTTTTTTAATGTAACATATGTTTTGTATGTTTTGCATGGTTTGTATGTCTTTATGGTATGTATGTCTGGCATGGTTTGTATGTCTTTATAGTGTGTATGTTTCGTAGGTTACAGGTTCTGTAATGTAATGGAATGTACTGTAGTAGAGTGTAATGTAATGTATGTTGTGTATGTTGTATGGGTCATGTAGGCAATGTAATGTAATGTGAATGTGAATGTGAAGGTACATGTAAATGTAATGTAATGTAGTGCAATGTAATGCAATGCGATGCAAAATCATGTAATGCAGTGTTATGTGATGCAACGCAATGAAATGTAACGTATAGATATGTAAAGCATTTATCTCGAAAATGTAAGCACGCATATATACATATATTATACATATGTATATGTATATGTATATTTATGTGTATATATATATATATGTGTATGTAATATGCATGCTTACATACATACATACACACATACACACATACACACATACACACACAGTTACATAACATAACATAACACAACACTACTCACTACTCACTACACTACACTACACTACACTACACGACACGACACGACACGACACGACACGACACTACACTACACTACACTACACACATACTCACATACACACACTTGCTCAGAAATAGCTTATCGAATTATTGGTGTGGAGTGCATCGGACGTGCAAAAACACTTCAATTAAACCTAACAGGAGAGATTGGTTGACATGACGCAGTCAGTTTCCCTTGTAGTGTAATTATATATATATATACAAAACCTGGACCTAACAAGCCTACCTAAGGGAAAAGGATGACCTAAGCCTGGAATGAACATGAGAAATGAGATGAAACCTACCCTAAAGTGTGTATATATATATAAGTCCCTAACATTCAACAGATTAGAGGTTTTACATCACTTGCTCAGAAACAACTTCTCGAATGATTGGTGTGGAATGCATCGTACGTTTACACGGGTCCCGGGGGGGTGTCTTCGTTGGCCACCGACCCCCCCGGGACCCCGGTGGCCTCCTGCTGAAAGTAAATGTGAAAAACGTAGTGCAAAATCAAAAAAAAACGAAACATCGAAAACGGCTAGAAGATTTACATCTCTTCAGATGTTCCACACACACGCCCGGCTGCCGCGAGGCTTTTTTCAATGGATCACCACCCCCCTGCTTGAAGCGAAAAAACGAAAGAAGTTCTTCATCTCTTCAGATGTTCCACATACACGCCCCGATGCCGCGAGGCTTTTTTCCCGCTGTTTATTCATATATATATATACATATATACATATATATACAAGACCTGGACCTAACAAGCCTACCTAAGGGAAAAGGATGACCTAAGCCTGGAATGAACATGAGTAAATGAGATGAAACCTACCCTAAAGTGTGTATATATATATACATGCCCCTGCTTGAAGCGAAAAAACGAGAGAAGTTCTTCATCTCTTCAGATGTTCCACACACACGTCCCGCTGCCGCGAGGCTTCCCGCTAGTTTTTTATATTTAAATAAGGAGGCCTATTTTTTTTGGATTTTTTTTTGTTTACGTTTTGGATTTTTTTTTTGGGGTTTCTTGTTTTATCTTGCTTTCTCCTTTTATTTTTTGCTTTTTTTCTTTTGTTTCTTATTTTTTTGTTTTTTTTGATTGTTTGCTTTTTTGCTTTTTTTTTTCGTTTTTGCTTTTTTTGCTTTTTTGCTTTTTTGCTTGTTTGCTTTTTTGCTTGTTTGCTTTTGTGCTTTTTTGCTTTTTGCTTTTTTTTTTTGCGTTTTTGCTTTTTTGCTTTTTTGCTTGTTTGCTTTTTGTTTTTTTGCTTTTTGTTATTTTTGCCTTTTTTGCTTTTTTGCTTGTTTGCTTTTGGCTTTTGGCTTGCTTTCCATGGCTTTTGGTGGTATTTTTAGTATGTCAAACTTGCACACTTTTCAATACACTAGTTTGAATCGACTATATTCAAATTTATGTTTAAATTAAAATCTATATATATATATATTTACATATACATATGTATATATGTATACGTATATATATATATATATGCATTTCTATACACACTTATATATTTATATCTAAATATACATATCATTACTATTTATGTTCAAATTCAAATATAATATATATATGTAAATATATACATATATTTATATTTATGCATGTATATATACACTTATATATTTATATTTATATATATATTATATTGATATATTTATATTTTTATATTTATATTGATATATTTATATTTATATATTTATATTTATATTTTTATTTGTATATTATATTGATATATTTATATTTATATATTTATATATTCATATTTACATATTAATATATATTTATGTACTTATATATATATACATTCATATGTATATACATATAAATGTATATATATATATATAAATATAAGTATGTATCTATAAGTATATATACTTTATTCCACATGTTTCCAGGTTGCATGTCGTGTAGTCTATACACCTTGGGTATCACATTCAACCCAGCACCTTGCATGTAAAATAGGTGTTTCCAATCTGCTTTGGTGGGGAGGCGCTGTGCCCTCCCCCCCAATCCCCCCCCTCCCGCTTTTTTAAATTATTTAAATTCAAACTTGCACACTTTTCGATACACTAGTTTGATTCGACTATATTAATATTTATGTTAAAATGTATATATATATATGTATATCTAGACATATATATATATAGATGTATATGTATATATTTGCATTTATATATTTGCATTTATATATACCGTTATATTTATATATATTTATGTACTTATATACATGTATATATATATACATATTAATTTGTATATACATATCAATGTGTATATATTTATATAATTATGTATCTATAAGTAAATAAATAAATATATATATATATTTTATAAATACACATGCATATTTACTTATAGATATACAGACGTATACATATATATATATGACATATTTGTGGTTGTTTTTATACACAGCTTTGATCCCAAAATAAACTACAAATAATCATGTAATTATACCTACATGTTGTATCCCTAAACCCTAAACCACACCCTGCATATACATACATACATGCATACATACATACCTACCTACCTACCTACCTACTATACATACATACATACATACATACATACATACATACATACATACATACATACATACATACACACACATACATACATATATATATATATTGATTGATTGATTGAAGAAAACCATAGAAAACTTGCAGAAAACGATGGGAAATTGAAGAAAACCAGGGAAACATTGAAGAAAACAATGGAAAAATTGAAGAAAACCATGGAAAACTTGCAGAAAACCATGGAAAAATTGAAGAAAACCAGGGAAAATTGAAGAAAACAATGGAAAAATTGAAGAACACCATGGAAAACTTGCAGAAAACCATGGAAAATTGAAGAAAACCAGGGAAAATTGAAGAAAACAATGGAAAAATTGAAGAACACCATGGAAAACTTGCAGAAAACCATGGAAAATTGAAGAAAACCATGGAAAATGGAAGAAAACCATGGAACAATTGAAGAAACTGTGGAAAAATTGAAGAAAACCATGGAAAAATTGAAGAACACCATGGAAAATTTGAAGAAAACCATGGAACACTTGAAGAAAACCATGGAAAAATTGAAGAAAACCGTGGAAAAATTGAAGAGGCACGAAACCCAAAAAAAAACCAAAACTGTAAAAAATAATAATTCCAAAAACAATTCTGCTCCCTTTAAATAAATACATAAAAATATATATATATATACAAAAACCTAGACCTAACAAGCCTACCTAAGGGAAAAGGATGACCTAAGCCTGGAATGAACATGAGTAAATGAGATGAAACCTACCCTGAAGTATAAATATACATGTTCCCTACATTCAGCAAATTAGAGGTATTACATCTCTTCAGATGATCCACACACACGCCTCGCTGCCGCGAGGCGTTTTAAGGTCCCGACAAATGAGATGAAGGTGAAGATGAAGGAAAGATGAAAATGGGATGACGATGAAAATGAGATGAAAATTACCTAACCAGGACGCGAAGAGGGGAACGCAAAAGAAGAAGGAAGGAGCAAACACACACCAACACACCTAGCCCGGAACGGGCGGACCCTGAAAAGGCAAGGAAAAAGAAAAAAGTGGACGGACGACGGACCAAAAAACCAACCAGAGAAGGGGGGGCGGACGGAAGCGCCTGACACAACCTACAAGGCGAAAGCCAAAGCCAACCTAGGAACGCGAAGGACCCAAACCTAACCTAGAGAGGCGAAGCACACATGAAATAAGGGACCAATGGGGACCTAGTTAATGAAAATGATGCATCCACATAAACGTGCATTTTTCCCCTGGTTAGGCTCAACGGCCTGGATTCAATTCACCCCTATGGACGGCTTACGTGTTCAACCCTTGAATTACGTGCACAACTGAACCTCACCAGACAACCACAAAAAGAAAGAGGACCGCACCTAAAGCATGTCCTGATGCCTGCCATGCAAAAAAGGGTGAGGCCCGAACAGCGGCCAGCTGTTCAACACTAATCGACCGGCAGGTGAAACCCGAAAAAAGGCCAGCGGTTTCACTTTACTTAAACGAATTACTAATTCAAAAGTGTAAATTCCGCAGTCAGTTAGAAAAGTCAAAAAGGTGAAGCCAGGCACAGCGGCACGCAGTTCAACACTTCGACCCACGGGTGAAACATGAAAAATTGGCCAGCTGTTTCACTTTACTTAGACGAATTACTAATTCAAAAGTGTAAATTCAGACATCGTTTTACCGTCAATTGTTAGCCTAGAAAGGCTTTCCCCGAAGGGTTCATACCATCTTGACGAAAATCGGTATGAAGGACACACTTGCTCAGAAATAGCTTATCGAATTATTGGTGTGGAGTGCATCGGACGTGCAAAAACACTTCAATTAAACCTAACAGGAGAGATTGGTTGACATGACGCAGTCAGTTTCCCTTGTAGTGTAATTATATATATATATACAAAACCTGGACCTAACAAGCCTACCTAAGGGAAAAGGATGACCTAAGCCTGGAATGAACATGAGAAATGAGATGAAACCTACCCTAAAGTGTGTATATATATATATATAAGTCCCTAACATTCAACAGATTAGAGGTTTTACATCACTTGCTCAGAAACAACTTCTCGAATGATTGGTGTGGAATGCATCGTACGTTTACACGGGTCCCGGGGGGGTGTCTTCGCTGGCCACCGACCCCCCCGGGACCCCGGTGGCCTCCTGCTGAAAGTAAATGTGAAAAACGTAGTGCAAAATCAAAAAAAAACGAAACATCGAAAACGGCTAGAAGTTTTACATCTCTTCAGATGTTCCACACACACATACGTACGTACCTACATACATACATACACACACAGAGATACACACACACACAGATACACACATACATACATACATACATACATGCATACATGCATGCATGCATACGTGCATACATGCATACATGCATACATTTATACACGCATACACGCATACACGCATACACGCATACACGCATACACGCATACATGCATACATGCATACATGCATACATGCATACATGCATACATGCATACATGCATACATGCATACATGCATACATGCATACATGCATACATGCATACATCATACATGCATACATACAGACAGACAGACAGACAGACACACACACATATATATATTTATACATATATATATACACATGCATGAAGCGGTTGCATTTGCTTGTTTATTTGCGTGGCAGTTTGAGCTGTTGTCACCATGGAATGGAGGCTGAGCGCCAGAGCTGCGAGACACTGCGCCGAGCTGCGGAGCGACGCAGGGCAGAGCAGCAATCGACCTACCAGGTGTCGTATGGCATCGCGAAGCAATAATCGAAGGAAGTTTAGAAGTCAAACTTCCGACAATATGGAGAGATGAAAAACAGAGCAGGGCAGAGGCAGAGAGAAGAGCAAGATTAGAAGAGAAAGAGTAAGAAGACAGAAGATACAGATGCGCGAAAAGGTAGGAAAGTCGCAAAACACTGTGTTTTTCCAATGGTTTGTGGCTCCAGAGGGTCGAAAAGTAGGCTCGCTAAAGCGGCGGGTGCGGAGCCAGCTGGCCACAGGAGCAATGAAAAATTGCACGCCGTTGTGGCGCGAAGCACATTTCCAAGTCACAGTCAAGAAAACACCGTCAGGCGTCCGAACCAACTTTTTGAAGTTGCGATGTCGAAAAATGCAAGCCGTTGTTGGCGCGGAATCCACATTTTGAAGTCAAAATGTACAAAAGCAGCCCAGCTTTCGGACCACTTTCTGTGAATTGAGTTGTCCGAAAACAAAATTGCACGCCGTTGTGTCGCGAACACAATTTTGAATGTCAAATGTAACACAAAACACACCAGCTCTCCGACCACTCTCTGGAAGTTGGAGATGTGAACAAGGTGTCACGCCGTTGTGGCGGCGAAGCTAGCAGTTCCAAGTCAACATGTAACAGAACCCCTCACTCCCGGCCCTTTTGGAAGTTGCGATGTCGAAAAAGTGCACGCCGTTGTGGCGCGAAGCACATTTCCAAGTCAAAATGTACAAAACACCACATGTCGCGCCACTTTTTGGAGCTTCGGCGGGAATGTCTAAAAAAGGTGCACGCCGTTGTGGCGCGAAGCGCATTTCCAAGTCAAAATGTACAAAACAGCACATGTTCGCGCCACTTTTGGAGGTTCGGATGTCGAAAAAGTGTACGCCGTGCTGTCGCGAAGCACATTTGGAAGTCAAAATGTACAAAGCACACCAGGTCCGGACCACTTTTGGAGGTTCAGATGTCGCTTCGCTTCAAGACACTACACTACAGGACATTACACTACAGTACACTCCAGTACACTACATTACACTACATTACAGTCCAGTACACTCCACTACATTAAATTACACTAGTAGTACCGCAGAAGATAAAGAGACAGATAGACAGACAGACAGACAGATGGTTAGATAAATAGATGGTTAGACCCACTTTTGGAAGTTAAGATGTCGAAAAAGTGCACGCCGTTCTGGTGCGAAGCACATTTTCAAGTCAAAATGTACAAAACACCACATGTTCGCGCCACTTTTGGAGCTTCGGATGTCGAAAAAGTGCACGCCGTTGTGGCGCGAAGCACATTTCCAAGTCAAAATGTACAAAACAGCACATGTTCACACCACTTTTGGAGGTTCGGATGTCGAAAAAGTGTACGCCGTGCTGGCGCGAAGCACATTTGGAAGTCAAAATGTACAAAACACACCAGGTCCGGACCACTTTTGGAGGTTCAGATGTCGCTTCGCTTCAAGACACTACACTACAGGACATTACACTACAGTACGCTCCAGTACACTACATTACACTACATTACAGTCCAGTACACTCCACTACATTAAATTACACTAGTAGTACCGCAGAAGATAAAGAGACAGATAGATAGACAGACAGACAGACAGATGGTTAGATAAATAGATGGTTAGACCGATAGATGGTAGACGAATAGATAAAGAGACAGATAGATAGATGGTTAGACCGATAGACAGACAGACAGACAGATAGATAGATAGATCGATAGATAGATAGATAGATCGATAGATAGATAGATAGATACATCGATCGATCGATCGATCGATCGATCGATCGATCAATCGATCGATAGATAGATAGATAGATAGATACATCGATAGATACATCGATAGATACATCGATAGATAGATCGATAGATAGATAGATAGATAGATAGATATATACACAGATAGATGGACAGACAGACAGATAGATAAATAGATAGATCGACAGACAGACAGATAGATAAATAGTCAGAGAGACAGCTAGAGAAATAGATGGCGAGATAGACAGATAGATACATAGACAGACACATAGACAGATAGTTAGATACCAAGACAAATAGAGAAATAGATGGGTAGAGACATAGACAGACAGACAGATAGACAGACAGACAGATAGAGAGAGAGATATATATATATAGAGAGAGAGAGAGTTTGATCGATAGATAGACAGATAGACAAATAGATAGAGAGATAGTTAGCTCGATAGATAGATTGGTAGAAAAATTGATAGATAGACAGACATATAGATAGATTGATCGATAGATAGATCGATAGACAAACGCGGAATGCAGCAGGGAGAAGCTCCACACTAGTATTGGAATGCCTTTTTTTTTCTAGCGCTGTTGCGTCCGATGTTGGGTTGTGTCATTCATTGTATCCTATTGCGCTGCCGCAGCCGTGATTCATTTGCACGCCGAAGAATTCGTTGCGGGCCAGCGTGTGTGTCTTTTCTGACCGCACGATGGCGTATCAGCAGCCGTCACTCATTGCATCCGATCGCGCTGCCGCATCCGTAATTCATTGCATGCCGAAGAATTCGTTGCAGGCCAGCGTGTGTGTCTTTTCTGATCGCACGATGGCCAGCCAGCACTTGGAAGTCGTTGCAGGCCAGCGTGTGTGTTTTTTCTGACCGCACGATGGCGTATCAGCAGCCGTAATTCATTGCACACGATCGCGCTGCAGCATCCGTAATTCGTAGCATGCCGAAGAAGGCTTTACCCCTAAATCATGTAACCTTCAGATCCCTTTAACCCTAAAACCCTCTAATCCTAAGCTGTCCATAACCCTAAAATCCTTTAACACTAAAATCCTTTATTCCTAGGCCCATTGAACCCTAAGACCTTTTAACCCCTAAATCCTTTAACCCTAAGATGCTTTTAACCCTAAATCCCTTTAACTTGTGTTTATAATCCGATCACGATTTAACGCTAAAGTCTGTTAACCCTACGCCATTTTAACCCTAAAATCCTGTAACCCCAAAGTGGATTAACCACAAATCCTTTAACACTAAATCCTTTAACCCTACGATGCCTTGACCCCGAAATCTTTTAACATTAAGATCCGTTTAGCCCTAATTTTTCTTAACCTAAAATCCTTCAACCCTAAAATCCGTTGGTGCGTTTCTGACGGTACGAAGTCACATCACCAGCCGGAATTCGTTGCATGTCAGCGTGTGTGGTCACATCACCAGCCGGAATTCGTTGCATGTCAGCGTGTGTGTCTTTTCTGATCGCACGATGGCCAACCAGCACTTGGCATTCGTTGCAGGCCAGCGTGTGTGTCTTTTCTGACCGCACGATGGCGTATCAGCAGCCGTCACTCATTGCATCCGATCGCGCTGCCGCATCCGTAATTCATTGCATGCCGAAGAATTCGTTGCAGGCCAGCGTGTGTGTCTTTTCTGATCGCACGATGGCCAACCAGCACTTGGCATTCGTTGCAGGCCAGCGTGTGTGTTTTTTCTGACCGCACGATGGCGTATCAGCAGCCGTAATTCATTGCACACGATCGCGCTGCAGCATCCGTAATTCGTAGCATGCCGAAGAAGGCTTTACCCCTAAATCATGTAACCTTCAGATCCCTTTAACCCTAAAACCCTCTAATCCTAAGCTGTCCATAACCCTAAAATCCTTTAACACTAAAATCCTTTATTCCTAAGCCCATTGAACCCTAAGACCTTTTAACCCCTAAGTCCTTTAACCCTAAGATGCTTTTAACCCTAAATCCCTTTAACTTGTGTTTATAATCCGATCACGATTTAACGCTAAAGTCTGTTAACCCTACGCCATTTTAACCCTAAAATCCTGTAACCCCAAAGTGGATTAACCACAAATCCTTTAACACTAAATCCTTTAACCCTACGATGCCTTGACCCCGAAATCTTTTAACATTAAGATCCGTTTAGCCCTAATTTTTCTTAACCCTAAAATCCTTCAACCCTAAAATCCGTTGGTGCGTTTCTGACAGTACGAAGTCACATCACCAGCCGGAATTCGTTGCATGTCAGCGTGTGTGGTCACATCACCAGCCGGAATTCGTTGCATGTCAGCGTGTGTGTCTTTTCTGATCGCACGATGGCCAACCAGCACTTGGCATTCGTTGCAGGCCAGCGTGTGTGTCTTTTCTGACCGCACGATGGCGAATCAGCAGCCGTAATTCATGAAAGACAGACAGACAGACAGACAGATAGACAGATGAAAGCGAGAGAGAGAGAGAGAGAGAGAGATAGGGATAGATAGATAGACCGAAAGATAGATAGATCGATAGATAGATAGATAGACAGATAGACAGGTAGACAGCTAGACAGATAGACAGATGAAAGAGAGAGAGAGAGATAGATAGATAGATAGATAGATCGATAGATCGATAGATCGATAGATCGATAGATCGATAGATCGATAGATAGTTAGATAGATAGATAGTTAGAAAGATAGGTAGATAGATCGATAGATAGATAGGTAGGTAGATAGATAGGTAGATAGATAGGTAGATCGATAGATAGATCGGTAGATCGACAGATAGATAGATACATAGAAGATAGGTTGGTAGGTGGGTAGATAGTCAGAGAAAGAGAGAGAAAGAGTGAGAGAGATCAAGCACCTTTCAGTCCATCAGTGGCTTCGCTCTGCCATCCCTGATTCACAACAACCAATCTCTCCTATAGGTTTCCTATTTTTGAAACTTCCGCCACCGCCTTGTGCGGTACTACTGGTAATAATAATAACTGCACGGCTAAAGTCTGAGCGACAAGATCTTCGCGACTATTGCCGGGCTCCAGGTCTTGCCCTACATATCCTACAGCTCAAGTTTCTTGACTTTCCCCGTGTGGATCATGATCTCCCTCCAGTTGCGGTCGCTGTGGAACCATAAACAAATGCTTGTTGGCTTCACAGCTTCGAAACACTTCTTTTCAATTCTTTTCATATGTTTTTGTGAGTTTGACCAATTGGGTTGGACACGTCGGAACCTTTGGGGCACTTCGTCCCTGGCATAGCCCTTGAAAGATGTGAAGATTCCCGTCGAGAGGCTGCACTCGATGGCCCTGCGCAAGAGATCGCGAGTTTGGAGGTGCCGTAGACGGAAACAAAGACGAAGTCTTTCCAGAAATGATACATTTTTTCCCCAACAGCGTAAGCTAATGGGGTCTTCAGCCCAGAATAGCTCTGGTGTGCACTGGTGCAGGCGCCGGGTCAGGTTCAACCAGGTTCCGGAGAAGGTTCCGAAGGTTCCCGAGAAGGTCTGGGAGGGGGGAGGTCTGGGAAGCTTTGGTGCAGAGCCAGGTCAGGTTCAACAGGGTTCCGGAGAAGGTCCCGGAGAAGGTCCCGGAGAAGGTCCCGGAGAAGGTCCCGGAGAAGGTTCCAGGAAGCCTTGGTGTAAAGCCAAGTCAGGTCCAACAGGGTTCCAGAGAAGGTTCCGGAGAAGGTCTGGGAAGCTTTGGTGCAGCCAGGTCATCCCGAAGGTTCCCGGAGAAGGTCTGGGAGGCTTTGGTGCAGAGCCAGGTCAGGCTCAACAGACAGGGTTCCGGAGAAGGTTCCGAAGAAGGTTCCAGAAGCCTTGGTGCAAAGCCAAGTCAAGTTCAATGGGTTCCGGAGAAGGCCTGGGAGGCTTTGGTGCACAGCCAGGTCAGGTTCAACAGGGTTTTGGCGAAGGTTCCGGAGAAGGTCTGGGAGGCCTTGGTTCCGGAGAAGGTTCCGGAGAAGGTGTGGGAGGCTTTGGTGCAGAGCCAGGTCAGGTTCAACAGGGTTCTGCAGTATATTCCGGAGAAGGTTCTAGGAAGCCGTGGTGCATAGCCAAGTCAGGTTCAACGGGTTCCGGGGAAGGTTGCAGAAGCCAAGCCAGGTGAGGTTCATTTAAGTTACGGAAATTTGGCTGAGGTGTTTCCAGCGCTTGGCTTCCCAGCACGCTTCAGAAAGATTGATAAACATAAAACGTTGCGGCTGTTAGGGATACCACCGAAGCTTATTTAATTTATTTTTGTAGATATAGTAGATATATTGGATATGGCAAGACAAAACATTATTTGGATTGGGATCGTACATTAGCAGTACCATGACTCTCAAGAAACGTTTTTGTAGCCAGTCCAAATCAGCATACTCTTCAAGTACATTCTGTTGGTAGTCTTCCTTTCTGTGGAAACAACCGTGGAAGCAACTCTATTTCATGGTGATGCGTGTTGACTCATTTGTAAGCAGCTGGCCAACACCCTCGTTATAATATAAGCCAACAAACATGGGAGCGCCGAGTGGAAGTCAGTTCACTTTGCAGCGTATCTGAGGGCTCAATCAGCGAGATCCAACAGAATGCAGAGTTGGAGATTTCGAGTCTGGCTCCTGAGGAAGCCATAGAGCAAGGTCTTGGTAAATCGCAGAGTCCCTTTTCACACCACTCATGTTCCAGGTGAAGGTCAAAGCTTTGATGTTAAGGTAGAGTTAGAGATTTGCACGGGGCATGACAATTTCCAATGATTTCACAGAGTCCGCTTGGGGCCAGAAGCAGCGCTGGAGAAAGCGAGGCCCCGAAATCCATCAAAAACTCATCGCTGATGACCTGCTTTTAGATTCAAAGAAGCCCATTATCCCGGCAAGAGGCCCCAAACAGTGTGGGAGAAGTGTATTTCAATGTTGATGATGATGGTGAGGATGATGATAGGACATGAACAGGTCTCTGCCATTGTAGTTTGACGCTGACAATGTCGGGACAGGCTGAACCGTCTTTGAAATCATACACTTGAGAACATTTCACATATGGCAGCATGTCTTTACCCCCAGAAACAGCAGCAACTGCGGGCATCTGCAGACAACTTGTTTTAACTGCGGACAGCGGGTTGCGGTCAGTGATAAGGGTGCCAGGGCAACGATCAACAACGGAGCGCGCAACCGCAGGGCCTGTTAGGCGGCCAGGGCCCAGATGCTTTAGCTCTTCTCGCAAAGCCGCAGGGGCACATTCCAACTACACCGACACGAGTTCAGCTGCTATGGCTGCAAAAGAAGAGGCGAATCGGAAAGCAAGACCGTGTCAGTCTAAGCAATAGAAGCCGAAAAACACAGAAGGTTTGGGTATTGTTTGGTCGATGTGCATGCGTCTGTTCTTGGTACATGTAGGTTGTGTGTAATCAACTAGAGCAGAACATAACGTTGCTACGTATGCTAGAGCTGCAAGTGTGTATACCTGTTCACTGACACCGCTCAAAGAACTCTGTGCATACGTGCGTACTTTTCGTTGAATTGATTCCCATGTTGACTTGACAGTTGTGACCTGGCACAGTTGCGCGGAGACACTAGAAGCCGAAACAAAACAGATGCGAAAGTGCAAAACGCGACAACACAGGACAAGACGGAGAAAAACACGGTGATGCTGACGATGGTGATGATGGTGATGATGGTGATGATGATGGTGATGATGGTGACGATGATGATGACGATGATGGTGATGGTGGTGATGATGATGATGATAATGATGCGGGCCTGCGCAGTCGAAATGCACTTCAACATTTCACAAGAGGAACTTGAGACTGAAATTGACATGAAAAATGTTGCGGACCAGAAGCTAGGACCACACTGTTTGCGAGCCTGCGCAGTCGAAATGCATGTCAAGTTTTTAGAAGAGCCACTTTGCACGGAAATTTCCGGGAAAAAGGCCCACACCCAGAGCGCGCACCCTGATCAAGCACCGGCCTTTGCAGCTACCGTAAGAACCCCTCAAGTGTGGACACACCCTTTGGGGAAAAGAATTGCGCATTACTTTTTAAATAGAATTTGTGTAATTTTGCTTACAGTAATTCACCAAACAATGTGTTCACACTGAGGGGTTCTTACGGTAGGGGTTAAGGCCGGGAGAAAATTCCATATCAGAAACCATCGAGTCGCATCAGTGTCACAGGGCGGCGTCCTGAAGTAACATGCCAAGGTCCGGATCAGCATCGCAGAATCAGCGTCAAAGACGATCCTAGATCAACATCGTGGATACATGGTCAGGACGGTCGGGATGGTCAGGATGGTCGGGATGGTCGGGCTGGTCGGGATCGGGATGGTCAAGATGGTCGAGATGGCCGAGATGGTCGAGATGGTCGAGATATCTCGATGGTCGAGATGGTCGAGATGGTCGAGATGGTCGGGATGGTCGAGATGGTCGAGGTGGTCGAGATGGTCGAGATGGTCGAGATGGTCGAGATGGTCGAGATGGTCTAGATGGTCGAGATGGTCGGGATGAGGGTTTCTGTTTCTTTTAAGGTTTCTTTAGGGATTCTTTAAGGTTTTCTTTGGTGTTTCTTTAGTTTTTTTTTGGGGGGGTTCTTTAAAGTTTCTTTAGGTTTTTTTAAAGGTTTCTTTAGGGACGGTTCAGGACGGTTGGGGTAGTTCGCAAGGTTGCCATCTATACCGTCCCGATCCAACCCATGTAGATTCCGATCCAGCCGCGCCGATCCGACCCATCTAGATTCCGATTCAACGACCCCAATCCGACCCTGCCCTTAAGGCCGGTGCTTAATCAGGGTGCTCTGGTGCTTGATCAGGGTGCTCCAGCTGGCCTCCGGCAGTTTTCCTGTAAATTCTCGCGTGGAATGGCTCTTGTGACATGTCCGTGTGCATTTCGACTGCGCGGGCTCGCACAAAGTCTGCCGCGCGAGTTTTGCTTTATCTTTGGGCGCGGCATTTTCCTTGAGAATTCCCGTATTTTATGGCTCTTCTGCAATGTCCAAAGTTCATTTCGATTTCGCAGGGCTCGCACAAAACAGTTGTCGCGGTCTTGGGGTGCGTCATTTTCCTTGTAAATTCTCGCATAAAATTGCTCTTGTGGCATGTCCATGTGCATTTCGGCTGCGCAGGCTCGTGCATGTTTTGAAGTTGTTTTTTCTGGAGATCTTGGTTCCTCCCTACTAGGTCCTTGCACGATCTTGTAAGCAGAAGCTCTTCTGGAGATCCCGGTGACGTCCTCTCTACTTCATCCTTGACTTGTACAGGTCCTTGTCAGAAGACCTTCTGGAGGTCTTGTTGAAACCATCCTCGCGAGGTCTTCGCATTAAGATCTTGAAGATGCTCTTCGTTGGTGGTTGTCTGCAAGTTTTTGTGGGATGCTCGTAGGAAGTTCTCGTCTGAAGATTGTGTGAGCTCCTCTGTATTGATCTATAGGTCCTGCTGCTGCAGTTGCGTTAATGTCTAGCCTGATCTGTTCCTGTGCCATAGCTGCTGTTGCTTGTCTCTGGCACATTGACTTCCTACCCCCCACACTGCTTGCGGCCTCTTGCCGGTGTTATTTTTTTCTTCTTAGGTGTACGATTCTTGTAGGATGGTGTGGCGACCGCTGTTTAAGTCTGAGGCCTTCACCAAAAATCTGAGCAGTTGCGTTCGCGGACCGAGGCGGGGGTGCTTTTGAAATCTATCTACTTGCTGGAATAGATTAGATTAGTATAGATTAGAAATGATTAGAATGATAATATGAAAAAAAAACATGTGTAGTCAAATTTACAACTTTACTCCCGGATGATGAATTTTGGAAATTGCGGTGGTCCAGTAATTGGATAAACAAATTGTGAAACATGTTTCTGCAGAATGCGTTTCCAGACGGTTTGGTCCTAGCGCGACAAACACTTTCTGCCAGGAACTGGAAACTGAACTCATATGCTTGCAGGCGCCATGCTTCCATTGAAGCATTCTGAGTACATGTGATGGACATCCATGGAAGAGTAAGCAGGGCCCTTGTTCCTTGCTGCAATGGTTAAGAAAGTGCAGAATAATTTCACACAGGCACACACACACACAACTGCCGGAAGTTCTTGAGGAGAAACTTGCAAGAAGCGACAGAGAGGCAGGAAAACTTGCGAAATTGCATTGAAACTACTACTGTATCTGAACAACGGGCATGTAGTTACTCTGTAGCTACTAACAGGTACTGTATTTGTGAGTTTCAAGAAATCATGGCCTCCATAGTGTTGGGAGCCAAAGCACGGGATTCACAGAGTATCGGTTTGCTGTCGCAGCTCTTGTCCACGCTGCTGCTAGGTCCAAGAAAGTACAAGTCAGCTGAATCTGGTGAAGGTTCGGAACAGAAGCTAGTCCTGAGACCTCAATGACGATCTCGGAGCCGGAAGAGACCAATTTGCGGTGAACAACCGTTGCATGTGCTTCACAAACCCTGATCACTTTTAAAGCTTTCGTCTTTTTCTTTGGAGCTGCAGCCAAGACCTTTTACGATGCAATGGGAAGGGCTTTTGTAGTTGTGCACTGAGATTGGGATCGGTGCTGCGTACAGGCGCGCAATCGCAGCAGCCTGGAAACATTGCAACAGGATGGGCAATGAGCCGTGTCTCTTGAAATTGCCAACAAATCTAAACGAAACATAATCATTAGTCTCCTCAGGCTGACCACACTGCTGAATATAAACCCAGAAAACCTTGAAGCCAGTCTAGGTCGCCTAGGATGACCCTGACAATCTCTGACCTGAGTCTGAGATGACTGGCAGCCAGTGCCAGTTGACGGATGTTGAAAGATGTTGAAAGATGTTAGGCGTAGTTAGCTAGGTAGGGTAGAGTAGAGTCTGGGCAAGGCCAGCTGAGCATAGCAAGCTACCGGGCTACCGCGAAGAAAGCTATGGCCTTTGTCTCACTGCCACGGCCCGAGGAGAAGATGAGGAAGACTGAGCGGCTGAAACAGGCTGGGCCAGGGGAGGGCCAGGGTGAGGGGTAAGGCCGTTGGGAGCTTGGGGTCAGCATTGCGTGTTGCATATGCAGAATATGCATGTTGTTGTGGTGGCGTACGGCCTGTATGGTCGTGATTGCTTCTGTATAGTCCTGCAACAAATCTCAGCTTTCGTTCCCCTCAGAGAATTTCACACCTTTGCATCCTGGTCTGCGACAAGCTTGCAGCGTGCGTGCTCATGGCCTTGATGCTTCATTGACCTACACCCGTTCCGCCATTGCAGCTTTCAATGCTTTTTATGAATAAATATGCTCATATATAGTGAATCGAATTTATTACATGCAAAATGCATCCAAATAGCAATCTCTGGAAGTCTGTGTTTAGAAAGATAATCTCAGGAACTGAGCCTAAACACAGGCAGTGCACAGGGGGTTGCGTCAGCAGGAAAGGCTATAGATAGAACATTTGATAGAATAGTGACACGCTTTCACACACAAAGCTACGGATTTCCGAACATCTGAAGGAATGGAAAGACTCTAGCAGATTCTGCATAAGGACTTAGACCCTCCTTCCTTGTCAGATGTGAATGACTGACTTAGCTGCTGGAAGTGTAGATATCATCATCAGAATCATCATAGTTATTACTTTTAAGCTGATGTCAAGAAGCCAGCGCCCATGGTATGCATTGTTTTCTGCTGTTGTTTTCTTCAAGACGAGCCAGTGCTTCTTGGAAATGCGATTGGGGCCTTGGCGAGCAGAACGAACACGCAGCCGTCTTCAAGCACGACACCGTGCCAACGCACGTAGCTGCATAACCCGGCGAGGGCATGCCGTGCATGTGTTGGCTTGTGCCACTGAGTATCGTCAAGAAACCGCAATTTTACAACGGAGTGCCTCACGCAACGGATGCTGGACAGAACCAGTACGATTTCTCTCGTTTACAGGCCTCACCTCCACTGAAGCTCGAAAAGACAGGCAACAGGAGTTGATTTTCAAACATTTTTCAGAACCTCCATAAAAGGTTGCTGCAAATTCAGAGAGTCCTTGTTGCCTCAAGACTTTCTTTGCCTTGTGTCCAAGGGTTTCGTTTCCACACGGTTGGACTCGGAGAACCTTGGTGCGGCTTTGCCACTAAGCGCCTTGCCGTATTATTTCTGTGAATCTCTTTGCAATGTTGATCGCGCGCGCGACCTGTGAATATGATGTACATTTGAAAAGCAGTAATAATCAGTAATATAAATATAATACAATTCAAAGACAACTTCTTGCCTTCTTGTGCAGATTGAGAGGTCACTGCACTACTGTTGGTGCCTTTGCCACTTTCAAATCTTCTTTCCAGAGAAGGATCCTGAAGTCCAACCAAATCGTGACAAAGGTTTCAGTCAGTTTGAGGTTTCTGGCTTATGAGCGAAGATTACAGGAGCTGCGGCAGCTGCTTGGACTTGAGCGAGGTAGGGAGTTGAACTAAGCCCGACTAAGCCCCTGAACCCGAGCATGGGTGGCATAGATGGCATAGATGCCCAGCCCAAAAATATTCCTGACTCAGGGCAGACGAGAATGAGTTCAGCCTACCTGTTATGCAGCAAAGTTTAAAGCTCGGAGACTGGTGCTGAATGCATTCAGAAGATGATCTTAGGAAACATAGGCACTGTTCTCGACCCACTGAAAATACTTCAATCACCGGGAGCCAGTCCATTCAACCTGTCTAAGTTGGAAGTGCGTGCTTCTTGTGAGCACACTCAAGGGAATTGACCTTAGACAGATGTTTGCAATTTTTGCCGTCGTTTGCCACACCACCTGCAAAGGATGTTGCCACCGGAGCAGTTGGTGATGCTTCTTGACGCCTGGGATACTGTCACATGCACGAATAGCCTTTTTGTATTTGTTGTGTTTGCTCTAGAGGTACTTGAGTAGTAACAATTACACAGCCGCTAAAAAGAGCAAGAGAGGGTGAGAGCAATTCCTAAGATTGCAGGCCTCACATGTTGGAATGAAGTGTGCACTTAGAACTGTGATTGAAATTGCTTTCCTTTGAATCACGTGCTTGCAAATCTGGAAGCAAACGATGATGAGGGAGATCTTGTGCACAAAGCCGACAAAGTTCTGACAAAGCATATCACAGCATGCGAGTACAGCTTTCCTGCAATGCGCCATGACGCGCCTTTGGGAGGTGATCTTGGGATCCTCCGAAGAGCTGCTGCGCAAAATGTCTCAGCTGCCTTCAGAACCTCGGCATCACTTAGCCTCTCAGCAGTGAACCTGTGTTTTGTGGGCACTACGCCAGAACAGAGCGAAGGCTCCAGACCAAACCTAAGAGTCTAAGAGCATACATCTTTGATCACCTTTAATCATCTCCATAATCTATGTACTGCGGTTGTGTAAATACATAGATGCAATCCTACTAGTTGGTTGCTGTGTACATACTTTGACATGCTTACAGAGTCGGAGTGGTATGATAGATTCTATATGATTCTATGATCTTGATAATTTGCTGACCTAGCGATGCCTTTGAACTCGTTTAACAGCACCGATATCTTGATGCACCGCTGAGCTCCTACCAAGAACAGCATCCTTTGCGGGGCAGAGAGAGTTTGTGGCCCGAATCACTTCCTGGTGGCGCAACTCGGAAAGCATTGATAGCAGAGCAACCGTGTAAGAAATGGATTCCGCCCTGCCTGCTTTGCTTTCCGCTTTCTTGGGCTTGCCTCCATTGGTGCTGCCATCAAGCCTTGTTGTATTCCAGAGTTCTGATTGTTCGTATGAGCGAGGGTCCTCAGAGAAGTCTTTCCAGAAGCAAAACTTTCTTGGAAAACAAAGCGTATCATGGGGTATTGATTCAAATTGATTGTTGCAGAACGATGCAGAGTGGGCAAGATTGAGAGTTGCATCAAGTTGCATCAGGCAGATTGAGGAGCTCTATCCTGATGGTCACACCCCTTGGAGATATCCAAACTCCGGCGGCTTGGTGGGCCCACTGCAGGCACGCACACAGCCTTTGCTTCACCGTTTCAGGAAGTTTGGGACGTTTCGGAAGTTTTACATAGAAAGTCTTGAAAGTCTTGACTGAGATGATTTGTTGACTCGCTCAGCCGCTCACTCATGACTCAAAAACTCACCAACTCACACACAGGAAGTCTCTCCGAGAGTCTCTCCTTGCACACCCGCTGTAGTAGATGGAACTTGCAATCTAACTCACAGATTCCCAACTCACCACATGCTTACTGTACCTTCATGAAAAAATATCACCGTCCTGCAGTGTTTCGACGCCGTAAATGTACTGAAGCTACTGAAAGCTTGCCCTGTACTGTCTCTGGAAGAGTACTGGAAATGGTAGGATGATCAAAGTGATGGCCCTGGCGCATGTTTGCATGTGCAAAGTGGAGCTCGTATTCTGGTTGGGTTTGGCCAGCGCTCTGGAATGAAAGGTTTTCATGAGGTGTTTTGGGCGCGCGTGGTCAAGGTTATGATAGTGCTTTAACATGCTTTGTCATTGCGCTGGGTGGATCTTTGTGGTCTAGCCGTCCGCCAAGGTCTACCAAGGTCCTGCTTTAGAACGGAACGCATACAGTATTTGAAAGTTGAAATTGGGAGGGTATTCTGGCAGACAGTTCCTTTATCTACGGATTGGTGGAGTCCATGGTATGTTGTCGTAGGATGTCGTAGGGCCTTGTACTTTGCCATCCTGTCTATATGCGGTGAAAATTGCTTGTAGCGCGACATGTTGTGGTGTATTGAATACAGTGTATTGTGTGTATTGTACTGCAACTGAAAACATCATAGTGCGCTGTAGTACTGAGTGGTAATGGAGGCGCAAAGGACAGCTACCTTGCTGCATTGGTTCTTTCGTTGCGTGTTGGTTTGCTGATGCCACATCCTAGCAGAGCTTACTCACCGACAGAAGTGTTTACTCACTATCTTGATCAAAACTCAAACTTTCCTCAACTAGTCGCTCTTTCATTCCATCAGTCAGGGGGTGCTCAAACCATTCAATGAACTACTCCATCAAGAAACTAGTAAGACTTCACAACCACTCTCTTGACTAAACTAGATAGTGATAGAATCAAACAAACAGCCCAGTTTTCATGCCTGCATTCCCTATGCGCCTCCAGTTTGTGCACGGTTTGTATTTATTCACACTTGCATGCATTCATACATATGATATACATTGATATACCACCTCATGTCATGCACTGTATATAGTGTATATAGTGTATATAGTGTATATATGGAATGCCATGTTTCGTACTAGCGCATATTGTCATGTCGCCCCTGTGCGGCTTAGGGTATGTCATGTAGTGTGTCGAAATCTTCCACGCTGCAACAGGGTCATGATGCTACGATGTGGTCATCGCCTCACATTACTTTGTGGTACCTGTTGTGACTTTAGGCATCAACGTTATGTTATGCATGTAATTTCAATTAATTTAATGTAACACTATGTTCTAGCTGACGTGACGCTATGGCATGTTGTTGTGTTTGTATGATCTACAGGAATTTGCAGTACAGCATGCTGCCTTGGTGAATTTCCCTTGACAGGTAGAGTTTGGTAGAGGACTAGTTTCTCTATGTTTCTTTCGAGTTCTAAACACGAAATGTCGAGGCAACACAGCAAAGTCACACATGGCTATACTCTTATCAGATTGCAGCGTGCAATAGTGTTCCGCAGTTTCCTTGACTTGGGGAGTTGTGGGATATTGCGGGGGTCGGAACGAGAAACCAACACATTCAGTTTCATTCATGGAGAGGTGATGCTGGAACTTCTCAATGCCTTGGTCCATGACACGGACTTCCTATGGGGGGAAGTTGGGTACACCAGCTCTGCTATGCATCACAGGAAAATTGAGGTGTGTGTGTGATGTGCTGAAACAATCATCAGCGATCAAAAGAAATGCCAGCCTATATTTTGCAGTATATAGCTACACATTGCGAATGATTGCAGGAGAGCGGGACAGCGTTGCCAGCCGAAGAGAACGATCAGGTTGGACCTCTGGTACCGTGGTCTTGTTGGCCTTGTTGGCTTACGGTGGATCCATCACGACAGAGTCCTGCAGAGTTCTTTATGCAGCTGTGTAGCATCCCTTGAAACAAAGAGCACTCTATTGACATCATTTGACATCTATCCGATCTATCCGAGTATCTATCGACCTCTTTGGACCCCTGGCTTGGCGGTATGTCTCTCAGTGTCTCTCCTGTGTTCCCCTCACAGAGACTCAGCCCTGGCACCGATGTGTTCCCGGTTACTGGAGGTGCGCCTCCACGACTTCTTGATTGCACGGGCTGGGCAGGGCCGGGCCTTCCCACTGCTCTTGGATACCGATTGCCGTGTATTTCAGTGCATGTATGAGGCCTGGACAGCCAATGGACAGCCCATAGACAGCCCATAGACAGCCCATGGTTTTGATTCTCATAAGTCCTGTTGGCTTCTTAGAGGAGCAGCCCCAGTGGGATTCCACTTTGGATGCGACTTCGGCGCCACGGCTGCGGAATCGCTTCACCGGTGAAATGCCAGTTGTGGCCCACGGCAACGGCCACACTGGAAGGTGGTTCTTGTCGGCGATGTATAGCGAGATGCTTCCCAGTTGCAAAGATTGAGCAAGTAAATCACAAAGCCACAAAGCAAGAATCAAGGTTGGCCTTGACCAAACGTGGCAGTCTATCTTCTGTTGCGTCGTTCCTGCTCTTTCGGGATCCAAATCCCAAACGGTCATCATTTTCACTGGAAGTAGATGGAAGTAGCACCAGCAACCAAGGGTAATCTCCGGTGTAAAAGTACAGCGCAATGACCAATCTTTGAGGAAGCTGCTGGATCACCTGGGTTTGCGAATGGATGAGCTTCAGCACCTTCAGCACGAAATGCCAGTGCCTCCTGGAACTGAAGTGACTGAGGAGATCAAAGCAGAATATTGCCCATGGTGGTACATGCCAGGTGGCTAATCTGAATGATCGGTTTTGCCATGATGTCCAAAAGTCCTTTGCAGGAGTTTCTGATTTTTTACACTCTATATTGATTCAAACATGAGGCGTCATGAATGCCATGGTCCATGGTACTATATAATTGTAATGTTTTGGGTTTTGTATGATGTTGTATGCATGAAATTATTCCAGTCGCTTCGTGACGTGCACTGCCCGCACCCCGAGCGGGAAGGGAAATTGTGCAGCCGGCGACAGCTGTTCGAAGTTGAGTACGGTTGGCCACAAGGAACAAGCAGCCAATAAAAAGAAGCTGTGCAGCGCATCTATGACTAAATGAAGAGATAAAGGAACTGAGAGAGTAGAATGAATAGAAGGCTTGGACGAGGGAATGGAACGAATGACGAATGGTACAAACGGGACCGAATGAACGTTCTGCGCCACAATGGGAAAAATCAAAAATGAAGCACATTGTAGCAACCTGGCTCACCCTTGGCACGGTCAGTTCAACTCGGCTTTCAATCACTCACGCCCCTTTTGTAGTTCTGGCTTTTTCAATGCTACTTCAAGGCAGGTTGCAGTGAGGTTCAAATTGCGCGAAATGCAAGCACAGCTCGACAGATTTCCGGAACGCATCGTCCCACGCGCTTCAAGCATGCAGTGTAAGTGCAGTTTCTTTCTTGCGAAAGCCGATTATAAGGCAGGCTGAAAGTGTGTATTTGTGAGCAAGGTGAGTAGAGGGGGGTGTGCGGGATTGTGTCGGTCGTTGTATCCGAGGGGCCACCTGAGCTTGCAGCAAGGCAGGGGGGTAAGTGTCCATAGAGGCGGGCGAAGGCTTACATGTGTTATCAAGGGGACGATAAGATTCTTATTGCCTTTGTTGCCTGTGTTGCCTTTGTTGCCGGTCTGCTGCTGCGCAAAGAGGCGCGAAGTGTGCGACGCTGTGGAAGGGAAATGGGCTGTTGATTGCAACGGGTGAAAGCGTGGATGACAAGTTTGTAGATGAGAATTCGTCGCCGCACGTGACCTTCGTTTTCCCACCTTCCGAGCGCCTTCACCCTTCAACAAGCGCCCTTGTGCTTCCCCTTCAGCTCTGGCTTTCGCTTGCTCCACCCTCTAATTGTTCCAAAACGCAGCTTGCCAACAGTCTAGTCAGCACTTCCAGTGCTTGGGGCTGACGCAGCGCTGGTGGCGCCTCACTTTTGCCTTTTTGCTGACAGATGTTCAAACCCATGAAAACACATTCCCCTTGAGCAGGAAGAGCCATGAAATCTGGAAAAAAGTGTTTCGCATACTTCTGTCCTTACATCTGCTTTACAAGAGATATCTCAGCGTGTGGACAGGCCAAACCTGTGTTGTTTTTTGCGCGTTTCGGAATTACTGACTTATGCAATGAGCTAGGGATTTGGTTAGCGGTGTTGCGAATGAGTTATGGAATTAGTGAACGTTGCAGCGTTGCAGGGACTTGACTGATCAGCTGATTTCATTTGTCTGTAACTTGGAAGTTTCTCTCCTGAACTTTCTTGAATAATACACATTGTGACATGATCGAAGGAAGTTTAGAAGTCAAACTTCCGACAATATGGACAGATGAAAAGCAGAGCAGGGAAGAGGCAGAGAGAAGAGAAAGATTAGAAGAAAGAAGGGTAGAAGAGAAAGAGTAAGAAGAAAGAAGATGCAGATGCATGAAAAGGTAGGAAAGTCGCGAAACACCTTGTGTTTTCCCAATGATTTGGGGCTCCGGAGGGTCGAAAAGTAGGCTCGCTAAAGCGGCGGGTGCGGAGACATCTGGGGAGATGAGAGATGAACAGTTGCACGCCGTTGTGGCGCGAAGCCGATTTCGAAGTGAAAAGGTACAAAACACCTCAGTATCGGACCACTTTTGGAAGTTGAGATGTTGAAAAAGTGCACGGCGTTGTGGCGCGAAGCAGATTTGGAAGTAACATGTGTTAAAAATTGAGGGGTTCGGAGCAGTTTTGGAAGTTGAGATGACGAAAAAGTGGACGCCGTTGTGGCGCGAAGCACATTTCCAAGTCAAAATGTACAAAGCACACCATGGTCGGAGCACTTTTGGAAGTTGAGATGTCGAAAAAGTGCACGCCGTTGTCGCGCGAAGCACATTTGGAAGTCAAAATGTACAAAACACACCATTCTCGGACCCCTTTTGGAAGTTGAGATGTCGAAAAAATGCACGCCGTTGTGGCGCGAAGCACATTTGGAAGTCAAACTGTACAAAACACTAGGGGTTCGGAAAAAGTGCACGCCGTTGTGGCGCGAAGCACATTTCGAAGTCAAAATGTTCAAAGCACTAGGAGTTCGGACCACTTTTGGAGGTTCAGATGTCGCTTCGCGTCGCTTCACTACACTACATTACACTCCACTACACTACACTACATTACACTACACTACACTCCACTACACTACAACTACAACTACACAACTAGACTCCGCTACACTAAATTACACCCCGCTACACTCCACTACACTAAATTACACTACGCTACACTACACTACACTACATTACACTACACTACACTCCACTACACTACACTACACTACATCACACTGCAGTACACTACACTACCTTCCACTACACTTCACTACATTACACTACACTACACTCCACTACAACTACAACTACAACTACAACTACACAACTACACTCCACTACACTACACTACATTACACTAGACTACATTACACTACACTACACTACGCTACCTTCCACTACACTTCACTTCACTACATTACACTACACTACACCCCACTACACTACAAATACAAATACAAATACAACTACAACTACACAACTACACTCCACTACACTCCACTACACTCCGCTACACTCCGCTACACTCCGCTACACTACACTACACTACATTACACTACACTACACTCCACTACACTACATTACACGACACTACACTCCACAACACTACAACTACCACTACACAACTACACTCCACTACACTCCACTACACTCCACTACACTCCACTACACTCCACTACACTCCACTATACTCCACTACACTCCACTACACTAAATTACACTACACTACATTACACTACACTACATTCCACTACACTCCACTACACTACACTACATTACACTACACTACATTGCACTGAATGACACTGCACCACAGATAGACAGGTAGACAGATAGACAGATAGATAGATAGGTAGACAGATAGACAGGTAGACAGCTAGACAGATAGACAGATGAATGCGAGAGAGAGAGAGAGATAGATAGATAGACAGATAGATAGATAGATAGATAGACAGGTAGACAGCTAGACTGATAGACAGATGAAAGAGAGAGAGAGATAAATAGATAGATAG